CCATAGTATTCAGCGCGTGTGATGACCCTAGCAGTAGCAGTGAGGCCCATAGCAAAACCAGTCTCATTGAAGTTATATATATCTTCAGATGCAATACCATATTGTATGATTGTCTCTTGCACTAGATTAAACCATTGCTGAATGATTGTTGGGTCTTCATTTTTAGCACGCTGGTAGTCGTATTGACGACTATAGCGCCCTTTGATCTCTGGTTGGCGCTGAGTGAAATTATACGCCCATTTTTGACCAACGGTCTCTAGAGGAGTTTGGCCGCACTGAGCAAGCAGAATATTGGCTATTTCTTGAACAGCAGTAGGGCTAGGCGCTGCGCCATGTGAATCCATTGACAAAATCCATTGAAGAAGCGTATACTCCTCAGTTTCAGTCAATTTATGGTTGTTTGCGCGCATATCATGGCGATTGGTATGGCCAGCTAGACGGCGGCGGAGCGTAGCCTCGGGCACGTTAAATCGGCGCGCTGCTTCGCGCACAGAAGTAATTTGATATTTTTGAATAGCTTCAATAGCTAACAAGACCCTACCCTCCTGCTCGATTGATTTTTGGGAGGATTGAGAGCGATTTGGTGGCATGGTAGGCAATAAAAAAATGATTAAGATGGTTGGGTGAGATTCGGTTGGATGGTGCGTCGCTCGCTTACATGCGTCGCTCGCTTACCGACCACGTTATATATTCTTCTCAAATTGTTAACAACAATGCGCGGTAGGATGTCATAGGCACTATTCAGAATGAATAGAGGAAGAACTCTGATTTAGATATCTATCTATCGTAGGGGCCTTTTTATAGATAATCTGGCGGCCATCAACTGCGAAAGGAAAAGTCGTTGCGAAAGAAGTTCAACGGGACAAAAGGTGCATAACACTTGTATGCGCTGTCCATAGTGAAAAGATGCTGGCTGTATGGCCGTAGGGTGTATGTTGTAGATAGTCGGGAAAGTCAGAATCTGATCGGTCGTGACTAATCGGGGGAATCGCTCGATTTCAGTGATTGGTCAATCGTGGCAGCGGTCATATCAATCAGTCTTTTGGTGTATATACGGAAGTCAACATAAAATGATTTCCCGCGCGGCGTTGATAGTAGGGTCAAAATATAATCAATGCTATCAAGAATGGCTTCTACTTGCCGTGAAAAATGCAAATTAGTTCAATAGAAAAGGAAGCCAAGGATCATCCAGGACATCAAGACCAATTGGATGACCGTAGATAGCGCCGTGCACAAGCTATCACTCACAAATAGAATAGCTTGTTTCAAACAGGGCGAGGTCGTCTAGTCCATCAAGAGGTCTGAGAGCGCAGGGAGCTTCTACCTGGTTAGATCGGGAAGCTGATCTGCCCAGGAATCCCTGATCCTATTTGCCTGATGAAGAGGAGTTTACCCACTTTTTACCCCGCCGCTAACTCCACGCAATCCTGGTCCAAGGGGAACAGTGTGATGGAAGATGTGAAGGGCCTGAAGATTACCCATTCGTCCGAGTTGATGGAGAACTATCTCCAGGCCGAGATCCAGTCACCGACTGGTCATTTCGAGGCCCTGCAGTTGGAGAATGAGAACGGCCACGCCTTGATATTCGCCATCGATTCACAGGGCATCTTCTATGGACTACAAGAATGTAGCGGAGAGACGGGCACGGGATGGAAAAGACATGATCTCTCGCGGTCGACCTTGCGGAGACATTTCACGCCTGAGGACAATGCTACGGTCCGAATATTCGGCGTTGGACAGAGTCATCTTGATAGCTCGATAGACCCACTGTATCAAAAACATATTGATCTAACCAGGCGATGAATGCTGTAAATATTGCATGCAGACACACGGACAGGAGAATGGCGCCATTTATGGCACTTCTAATGAAGCGGAAGACAAGAGGCCATCTATATTATCCATGGAACCATCAGTATATAAACGCAATTGAAATGGTCATAAAATCATATTCGGGGCTTTTTTCCACGTAGAAAGACGATGTGGGTGCATTCCATATATAAAAGCCGGAGATTCGCTAAGTGTCGACTGCATTTTAAGTGAGCACTACTAAAGACACTTGGTAAAAGACTGAGTAAAATGCAGAGTGCATAGGTAAAGAGAATGACTGCTTTAAATGCTAGTCTGGTGTTAAGAGGAGCGGTCAAAACAAAGATTGACATCAAACCCCATGATTGGAGCTAAAATAAGAATAGTTACATTTATATATAGCTAGGCTTTGTACTTGTTGAATTAGATGTTTTTTCATTGAATGGTTTGAACGTTAATTATGTCAGTAGGTAAGTCTATACAAAGATAATCAGCTGCAAGCCATAAAATGCCTTATCTATTAGCTGCTAAAGAGGAATGGTCGCATTGACAGGGCGATATCCCACAGAAATATGGGAAAAGAATATTAGTTGGTATCACTCGATAACTCTCCGGTTGTCATGGCCATGATATATTCAGAATCGGACTGTCAAGCGCAGCAGACACAAAGGGTATAAGAAGATCTTCCATTACCTATCTTCAAGATACAACCAAGCCGGTATCCTGTGAAACTTGCATGAACTCAGGCAGCACATCATAGGTGGCATAGCCAACGGTGTCCAGACTGGTTTGTAACCAACACAAAGGCTAGGTTGTCTCTTCCAGGCAAGGATAGATCCGACTTCAACAAGAAGCTCTGTGATCCAATCATTGCCATCTCTATCAGTATGGATATTGCTTTGGTCGAGATCTGAACGTGAATATCAGGGCGTGACGGCCTTGGGACGAAATTGAATTGACTAACTGTTCTCAGATCTGGAATAAAGAGTTTTCTGTGTCACGGTTAGCTTGGGCCTGAGATAACTTGTGGAATGAGAATAAGGAATTGTATGGGATGCTCATATGAAGTCTTTGCAAAGCTATATGTAAGATAGCAAACATCTTCATGCGCGTTGCTAGTTTTCTTTAGCGTTTCCCCAGCTGGTACACCATCAAACTGTGCCTGTCCTCAATTGTTGACATATAGGAGCTGGAGTGTGAAGGAAGTTTCGGGATGGTCTGTAATTGCAGCTTGGATAGGGAGAGGCGGTTTGGTCGAGAAAGGTTCGAGAAAGCTGATCATGTGATAGTTATCCACTCAAGAAAAATATAAATTGAATAACCTTTACGCTTTTACCTCTTCTACTTGTCAATCCCACGTCAATCACACTCGAGCGTCAACTGTTTCCATTCAAGGTAGCTTGCTTGTTTTCAATATGGCATAATCGGCTCTCGCGTGCTATTTACAGACTTTGCCAGAATGTTCTCTGAGTACCCTGGCATGTCAAGAAGGAAGCTAACTGCTGTCTCCTACTTTCCTACTTAAACAGTCTACTCCCGGGCCTCAACTCAATCCAAATCCAGTTGCAGCGAGAGAACGTAACAAGGGTCATGGAGAGGGAGCTCCTCGTATATAGGTCGTATCGAACTGAGGAACACCGTGGTTGATATGGCGAAGGATGGATATGTGCCACGGTATGGCGAGAGAGTCTATGAGATTATTCTGGCTTGTCAATGGAAATGAGAGTAGGATTATCACACTATCTTCTTTTCACGGATGCTTGAAAACACGGATGCTTAGAATAATACAAAGTAATTATTTTTGAACCCTGACACCGAACACCTTGCTTGTAGTAGTGACTTTTTGGCGACCAGCGCGGTGAAGATAAAATCGAAGACCCGAAGGGGCGGGTGATTATGCTCTAGTCAACGCTGTCCAGACCAGTCTCTTCATCCGCGTTGGTAGCGAGCATATCCTCCTTCTGCCGATAACTTAGTATCAGAAGGAGAGTCTGTTGCGAGAATGGCTCACCCTGTACCAAAGAAGCCAGGCCATGCATGCAGCAAAAACCCCAGGCGTAGAATAGGAGATGATTGACATAACTTTTTCGCCTGTCGAGGAATCGAACTGTTCAACAGAATACTTGGCAATATTGATGGCATTGATAGTCATTATGATGACTGGGGGCCTGGTGAGGACGGAGGCAATTGTTAGGAGAGCACGGCCCATGGGGATTTTGACGACGATTCGGTTACGGCGAGCAATGGGGCGGTTAATCTGCTAATCTAGGGCTTCTTGATGCTGGCGCAAAGGCTCCAATGCGAGTTGGTTGTTATCCATCGTGGTTTCGTAGTTTGATGGGTCGGTGAAATTGAGGTTGGGATGGATACGGAGTTTGGCCAAAAGGTGACTGGCTGCATCACGTGGCATTGATTCCTCCCAGTCTATTCCATAGAGTCTGCTGCTTGCTTTTAGCGGACCCTTGCCCAGTAAGCACTCTGAAAGTCTATCACGATAGATCGAAAGATGCTAACTACTGCCAAGCTTACGCCTATTAAAGCCTGTTCTATTAGAGATTTGTCTCTCTCCCCCTCCCTCTCTCTCGTTTTCTTGCTCTCTCTCTCTCTCTCAACGTCTCAGTATATCTTCATATTCCTTCTCTTACCTTCACGTTGCATGCAGCAAATACTCGCTTGACATTGACGCGAAATTTTCCACCACCTCTCCTTCCGTCGCATGATTGGCGCCAGTCCGTTCAGCTACAATTTCAAAACCTAGCCATAGAAGAAGCAGAGATACAACAAGGGACATGGGAATATTGTGTCAAACGAGGCGCTTTTCTTACTTCAGACTCGATAAGATAGCGAGAATCGTATCGTGCTAGGGTCCAGTATGGTTGTCATGGAGCGGATGTCAAGAGAAGCTAGAGAAGAATACCAGAGGGAGGACAGTACGGCATGGCGAGAAGTAGAGGCTATATGGCTTCGAGGGGCTTTCAAATTGACATGTGAAAGGAAGCAATAACTGCACGTCTGTGTTTCTTTAGCGAACATGAATGTCCAGATTTAAGAAATTAACATAAAACGAACCCTTTCATTTGAATTCCAGATCCCAGGCCACAAACGCCATGTCAGAGATTGTCCACTCCGTAATCTGCCTTGATTGACTGAAGGAGAACAAAGAATGTCAATATGATTACATAGCTGCCACTGAGTCTGGCCCACGTGCAGATGCGCGTTGAAGTAAGTAACGCTTGTAGTATAGGTACAGGACTAGAACAAGTGGCAAAGATAGGATAAACATGAAGGCGTAGCGAATTGTAAAGCTGCAGGTAGAGGAGCCGCCGTTGCACTTCAAGAAGTATGAGATAATGGTGAGAAGGTAGATCAACGTAGAACTATTCCCAATGTATCAGCAGCCAGCACAGCAATTATAGAGAAGAACATACATAATAGGATGGTCTCCAATAGTAGGTTTGACGATGTACCGGAGAATCACATCCTGGGGGAATTTATCAGCGAGAGTAGTTTCCGCTGCAGTAGTAGTGGAGAATGGGTCATTCTCAGTTGTAGAAGCCTTCATTTTCGGCTGATCAGGTCGGATTTTCGAGAGATAATGGTAGGATGAGAGCAACAAGTCCAGACCAAGGATAAGGTAGTTGTGGTAGAAAGAAGTTCGAAAGCTACAGAGTACGGGAGACAACAATAGCCCTGACCCATACCGCCTCCGGCAAAATAAAAGCTTAGTCATCCACGTGCCAATGCACTTAACGTATTCCACCACCGAGCGGGCCACCTCTATATTGCATACTAGATGGCCCTTTTTGTAACCTCAATATTTCTACCACCAATCGATGAAAAGGAATGATACTTGGATGAAAAGAGATATATATGATCGGAGAGTAATATTCTTAGTTGTATAAATTTGATAACGTAATCCACGGGCGAGCGGCGAATACGGCCGAAGTGCGAATTTTCGCTGCAACCATTACTTTTTGAAGCTTTTCAACCCTCAACACCATTAAATATGACCGAATGAGACTATCCCCTATTTAATTACATAGCTATTTATTAAGACAACTTCTTATAGTATGTCCAATAGTCTCACAGCCACTACAGCGTGGTGGAGCTCGCTGGCGAGATGTAGCATCATTAAGCTGCTCAAGCTGTGTATCAAGCTGCTGAATATGCTCACGACCTTCCTGTACAGAGATAAAGAGATCATTCCCTAGAGCAGTGCGTTTCCTTGCCTTCTTCTTCATTTTCCGCTCATTTTCAGTCTGTAGAAACCTTGATTTCTTGTTGTAGAAGGAGGTTCGTATTCATTGCCATCTGTGCAGCCTTTTCAAGATGATGAATATGAGAGACTGGACTGCTGGAAAGTGTCCTTTTCTTTTGAAGGCTTGTCTATAGGCTGCGAACCTTATGATCTAGCTGGCGAGGGTTTTGGGGTGTTTGAAAAGCAGATGAGATTGAGCCTTCAGTAAGATTTGGCGGCGGTGTTGGTGTATGAAGTTGAAAGGTGATTTTCTCAAGAACCCGATCTTGATTCAATGGTTTAAGACTTGCCCCTGCAAAACCATTGCAAATGCTCCTTTGAATAAATGCTGCTTTGCGTGCAGGAGGATATAGGTATAGAAAATCCTCCTTACCAATGTGGTTGTTTCCAGCTGCCATCATCTCCTCCACTAGTTTTCCATATTGTGACGGCCCAACGCTGCACTGACGCCGATATAGACAAACGACATCAACACGCCAAACAACGCCAACCGTGCAATGAAGACAAACGGAACATTAGCGAGATCACACAAACGCCTATAAGACCCCTTCGTCTTCTAGATAGATTTCCTCTTTCTTCTTCTCCCCAGATTCGATATTCTCGTTTATGGCTGCAATAGTCTAGATAGGAATTCAGTTCGTTATTATCTTCTATTCCGAGCCCGTGACAGTAGATATCTTGCTCAAGAATTCCATATTTTTCAATAGCATCATGGAAGCGCTTATACCACCCCATAATAAGCTCTGAATCTTCACATTTGGCACGCTGGTAGTCGTATTTTCGGCTGTATTTAGAGGAGAGTTCATCATGGCATTGAATATACTGAGTCACCCAACACTCGCCCACATAGGCAGTCTGGGAGGATAGCCGTGCAGACAGTAATAACCGTGTCAAAGGGCGTACAGTAGAGATTTGTAGAGGTAGGCCATGCTGGCCCATATCAATAATCCATGATGAGAGTGTCTTTTCTTTAGTAGGTGTCAATTTTCAGTGATTGGCAACTGATTCCTTGCGGCATGTGGTTCCTTTGACCCGGGTCTTAAAGGTAGAGAGAGGCACATCATATGCCTTTGCTGCTACATTTTTTGATGAAAAAAGACCTTTTTTAAAGGCTTCTAGAGCTAATTACATGCGATCTTCTTTTAAATTATCAGCCATGGTTGTGATTATAGATAAATTACAAATATGAATAGTAGGTGGTCGCGGATGTGGCCAGCTGGCCAGCTCGGTGATAGATTACGTTAACTAGTTATAGAAATACAGATAAATACAGCCGTAATACATGTTGCCTGGACAAACATATACTCAGAAGTATCAGCCCAAATGTATACAAGTATACCATCTGAAAATGGTTTTCTGGCAGTTTTAGCCCCTCTATATCTGTTGTTGTTGAGATATAAAGGTTATAAAAGGGCCATTTAGTATGCAATATAGAGGTGGCCCGCTCGGTGGTGAAATACGTTAGTTAACTAGTTAATTAACTATATATATCGATGGTAATTTGCAGCGACTGCTAGTGATCTCACAGCCAACTCAATAGTACTGTCCTCTCCTGATGCTTTATCGCGCGCTCCATGGCTGACCGTGTTGCTACTTATGCAGATTCAGCATCAGTATATGGTTTGGAGCCCCGGCAAGGCTTCACGACACAATCATACGTATAATATTATTGCATGGATATATGATATATAGGCTATTCAAACAACAGAAACCAAACTATTGAACAACAACTAACTCCCCTCTGACAGAAACATTCCACTCCCCACCCTTCTCCGGGAAGCCCGTAGCATTAACCGCGTTCTCAAAGAGCAGACAATGCGTCGAGCCACCGTAGTGGAACATCCCCAGCTGCTCTCCCTTCTTCACATGTTGACCCTCTTTAACAGTGATATCGCACGTCGAGACCTCCGCCATTCCGATACCAACGAACGCAACCGTTCTAATAGAAGGGTCATCAGCCTCGATGGAGATGACGGTTCGGGTAACCATGAAGGTCAGGTATGTCTCTGCGGTAACGATATCCACGCCATCGATGTGGGTATGGTTGTTGTGGGGGTTCGTTGTGCCCGTGAACAGGGGTTCGGAGTAGTACGTGCCGTTGATGATGTAGGACTTGACGATCTTCCCAGATATAGGCGCGTGCCAGCGGTGGTAGCTCGGAGAGCTCAGGAAAATTTGGTAGATTGTCTCACTGATGAAGCGGTCAGCCATAGGGTCGCGGCCCAGGATGTTGAGGATTGGGAATAATTGAAGGTTATGGAAGGGAGCTGCTCCATCACCATATGAGAAGAGCTGGCTATATGATTCCAAGGTTTGATCACAAGTCTCTTGTACAGATGCTTTCTTATAAACCACCTGCTAATAATTTCACCTCTAATAGAAATATCCTCCAATACCTACACTGTACACTCCTTCCAGATGCTGTTCTATATTGCTGCCAGGACCTTCAATGAAAACATGGAACCTATTGTGACGGCTCAACACCGCAACGCCGCATCTACGCCAATGTCAACAAATACCGTCAACATGGTAAACGATGCCATACGGGCAATTGAGACAAACGGCAGCTTAGCGATGCCACACAACCCCTATGTAATCTCTTTGTGTAAATAGACCTTTCTCTTCTCTTCTTTTCTTCTTCAGATTCGATATTCTCGTCGATAGCTACAATAATTTAGATAGGAACATTGATTCATTATCATCTACTATTTCGAGCCCGTGACAGCTTTTCTTTTCTTTTCAAGCTGGGAGGCCTTCCATGAGTTGGAACATTTGGCCATTTTTGGATGCAGTGATTGAGGTTGATTACAATACAAGCACAGAAGTCATAAAGGGAGATGTAGTAGATGTGACGGCTCAACGACCAGACAAACATTGCCAACATGCCAAAAGATGCCATACAAGCAATATGGACAAACAAGGGCTCAAGCCGCATCGCACAAA